GCACCGCGCTGTCCCCGTTCCTCTCCGCGCTGTCCCCCCCGCCGCCGACTGTGGGGAGCGGGACGAGAGGCGCAGCATCCTCCTCCTCCATGGCCGTCACCTCCGTGGGGACAACCCTAAAAGGGGACAACCCCCAAAAAGCCGTCACCCCACTTTTCCTCCGGCGTTTGCGTTTTAGCATTTCCCCTAAAAAAAAGGGATTTCTGGGGGGAAAATAAATCACTGGGGAGGGGGTGAGGGGGGTCCTGGGGGGCGGTTGCCCCACGGCGGGGCATCGGTGGGACGCAGGAGCCGGGGATGGGCACCCCCACGGTGCCATGGGGTGTCCTGGGTCAGGCTGGGATGGAGTTAATTTTCTCCCTGGTGATTGGTTCGGTGGTGGGTCGCTGCGGGGGGGAGCGGGATGTTCTTAACGAGGGGTTTAATTGTCATAAGTTTAAAAATAAAGATAAGTTTTAGGGGAAGCGGGAGCTGAGCGGCGCTCCGGAGTGTCACGTTTTAACCCCCGGCGGCAACTCGGACCTCGCAGCCGCTCGCTGTCCCCCCCCAGGGCAGCGGGACGGGGAGAAGAGAGAGAAAAAGGGAAAAAAAAAAAATCGTTGGGTTGAGATAAAGAGAGTTTAGTAAAACAGGAAGGGAAGAGAAAGTAAAAAGATTAAGGAGAACGGTGAAAGAATATCGAAAATGAGCGACGCCACCAAATTACTCACCCCCCCGGTGAGGGATCGCTCAGCGCAGCCATCGCGGATCCGGTCCCCGTTTATCCACGGCGAAGGACGTCCATGGGATGGAACATTCCTTTTGGGCCACCCTGTCCCTGCTCCCTCTCGGCCTGAAAAAAAGTCCTTGAGCAATGTAAACATCGCTTAGCAACAAGTCAAACAATATGTGTTATCAAAATTCCTCTCATACCAAATCTCAAAGGAAGAAAATTAACTCTGTCGCCGCCGAAACCGGGAGAAGGGGACACAGCGCCGGGAATTCGCCGGTCGGAACATCCCAAAGGATATTTGGAAGTTCTCAGGAGGTGTCGTCAGCGGTCTGGAGGAGGAGAAGAAGGTGAAGGAGGATTTGGGAGGGGGAAAAAGCGTCCCCTCCCCTCGTCTCCCCCACCCCCCCCGGCGATTCTCTGTGGAGAAAAGGTGAAAAGTGGGAATTACGGATAGTTTTCGCGAGGTGACACGGAGGTGAGGGCAATTCCGACACCGGGAATTTCAGCGCATCGCAAGCCAGCGTCACACAGCGCGACAAAAATCTTCCTCCGGGCCCCCGAGGTGACAAACAGCCCCCGGAGGGGATGTATACGGCGAGGAAAGTCACCGAACACAACCCCGAGAATAAATAAATCACCGTCGTGACCGGCGGCTATCAAATTAATATAATGAATGCTTCTAAATAATTTGTTTTAAACCATTCCGGTCAAATCCGTCGTTATCTCAACCCCACGTCAGGCGCTAAAAAGGAACCCCAGGTGGTCGCTCGTTTATTCCGACCCCGTTGGGACGGGGCAGGGCGGGGGCGAGGGGGAGAATCGGAAAAGGGAATAAAGTGGTGGGTTGAGGTCATTGAAATAAAATAGGATTTTAAGATAAATTGTACTGAAAAGGGAAAGAAGAAAAAGAGAGAGGAATAAAACCCAAGGACAAAACGAAGCGTTGGCAGGATTTAACCCCCCTCCCACCCCCCCC